CTCCACTTTCAGCAGTGGACAGATTAGACAGAAAATCAGCAAGGAAACAGCAGATTTAATTGACACTAAAGACCAAATGGATCTAACAGATATCTACAGAACTTTTCATCCTACACTTGAAGAATCCACATTATTCTCCACAGTGCATGGAACTTTCTGTAGGATTGACCACCTGCTAGGCCATAAAACAAGTCTCAACAAACCCCAAAATTCCAAAAAATACCATGCATTTTCTCTGAACACAATGGAATGAAGCTGGAGATCAACAACTCAGGAATCTCTAGAACATAGGCAATCACATGTAGACTGAACAACATGCTCCTGAATGAACAGTGGGTCACTGAAAAAATCAAAAAATTTCTGGAAAAAAAAATGAAGTTGACAACACAACATACCAAAACTATGGGATATAGCAAAAGCAGTGTTAAGAGGAAAGTTTACAGCAATAGGTGCCTACATCAAGAAATTGGAAAGGCACCAAATAAATGAGCTATTAACATATCTCAAGTACTTAGAAAAACATCAGCAAACTAAACCCAAAACTAGTAGGAGAAAGAAAATAATTTAAATTAGAGAATAAATCAACAAAATTGAAACAAAAATTACAAAAGAACAGCAAAACAAGAGCTGGTTTGTTGAAAAACTAAACAAAATTGACACACCACTGGCCCAAATAGCAAAAAAAAAAAAGGAGATAAAACTCAAATCAATAAAATTAGAGGTGGAAAAGAAAATGTAACAACAGAAACCACAGAAATAAAAAGAATCACCAGAAATTATTACAAAGAGATGTATGCCAATAAACAGGGAAACCTAGAAGGAAAGGACAGATATCTGGATACATATGGTTTATCTAAATTGAGCCATGAAGACATAGAAAACCTAAACAGACCAATAACCAAAGCAGAAATTGAATCAGTAATAAAGTCCCTCCCAACAAAGAAAAGTCCAGGACCAGATGGATTCACTGCTGCATTCTATCAGACATTTAAAGAACTAACTCCAATTATTCTCAAGCTGTTCAAAACAATTGAAAAGGAGAAAATCCTCCCAAGTTCTTTCTTTAAAGCCAGCATCACCTTAATTCCTAAACCTGAAAAAGATACAACAGAGAAACAGAACTACACACTAATTTCCCTGATGAACACAAATGCATAAATCCTCAACAAAATTCTAGCCAATTGAATCCAACTACACATCAGAAAGATTATTCACCTGGACCAACTGGGATTTATCCCTGGTGTGCAAGGTTGATTCAACATTCACAAATCAATCAATGTGATTCACCGCATGAACAAACTGAAGAACAGAAACCATATGTTTATCTCAATAGATGCAGAGAAAACATTTGATAAAAGACAACACCCTTTCATGATGAAAACTCTAAGCACATTGGGTATAGAAGGAACATTCCTCAACACAATCAAGGAAATTTATAACAAACCCATGGGCAGCATCCTATTGAATGGGGGAAAGTTGGAAGATCTGGAAAAGACAAGGATGCCCACTCTCACAACTGCTATTCAATATAGTCCTGGGAGTTTTAGCTTGGCCATTAGGCAAGAAAAATAAAATAAAGGGATAAAAACTGGGAAGGAGGAAGTCAAATTATTCCTATTTGTAGATGACATAATTCTATCTTTAGGGGATCCAAAAAAGATTCCCTGAGTCTATTGAAACTCATAGAAGAGTTTGGTGAAGTGGCAGGATATAAAATCAATGCACAAATATCAACAGCCTTTGTTTACATAGACAATACCATGGTTGAAAAAGAACTTCTAAGATCAATTCCATTAATACTAGCTACAAAAAATATCAAATGTCTTGGAATAAATTTAACCAAGGATGTCAACAATCTCAACAATGAGAATTACAAAACTTTGCACCAAAAAGTGGAAAAATCATCCATGTTCATAGATTGGAAGAATAAATATCATCAAAATGTCCATACTACCAAAGACAAGAGATTCAATGCAATACTAATCAAAATATCAAGGACATCTTCTCAGATATAGAAAAATGATACTGAAATTCATGTGGAAACATAGGAGACTCAGAATGGCTAAAGCAAACTTATACAACAAAAAGAAAGTTGGAGGTTTCACAATACTGGATTTCAAGACATACTACAGGGTAGTTATAATCAAAATAGCCTGGTATTGGTACAAAAAGAGATTGACAGACCGTTGGAATAGAATAGAACTCCCAGAAATCAATCCATGCACCTACAACCAACTTATATTTGACCAAGGAGCTAAAACCAATCTCTGAAGCAAGGATAATCTCTTCAACAAATGGTGCTGAGGAAACTGGATTTCCACATGCAGAAGTGTGAAATAAGACCTCTACCATATACCTCACCCCAAAATCCATTCAAAATGGATTAAATACCTAAATATATGACTCAATACCATCAAAATATTAGAGAACATTAGGGAAACCCTGCAAGACACAGGTACAGGCAAAGAGTTCTTGGAAAAGATTCCAGAGGCACAGACAATCAACGCCAAAATTGACAAATGGGATTACATCAAATTGAAAAGCTTCTGCACTGCAAAATATTCAGGAAAGTGAAGAGGCAACCTGTTGAACGCGAGTAGTTATTTGTAAACTATGCAACTGATAAATGATTAATAACCAGAATATATAAAGAGATCAACAAACTCAACAACAACAACAAAAGAAACAACCCAGTTAAGAAATGGATAAAGGACTTAAACAGGTATTTTTCAAAACAGGAAATCCAAATGGCCAAGAAACACATGATAAAAATGCTCAGGATCATTAGCCATCAGGGAAATGCAAATCAAAACCATAATGAGGTTTCACCTTAACCCAGTCAGAATGGCTTTCATATGGAAATCAACAAACAATAAACACTGGTGAGGATGTTGGGGAAAAGGTACCTTAATCTACTGTTGGTGTTAATGTAAACTGTTAAAAGCACAATGGAAATCAGTTTGGAGATACCTCAGAAATCTGAATATAGACCTGCCATATGACCCAGCCATCACACTGATGGGAATTTACCCAAGGGAAATGAAATTAACATATGAAATTTTTATATGTACCCCATGTTTATAACAGCTCAATTCATATTAGCTAAGATATGAAATCAACCCAAATGGCCCATCAACTGAAGACTTTATAAAGAAATTATAGTATATGTACACAAAGTATACTGCACAGTGATAAAAAAAAAGAAAAAAAAACTGAAATCTGGTCATTTGCAACCAAATGGATAAAATTGGAAAACATCAGACTTAATGAAATAAACCCATCCCAAAAGGGCAAATACCATATACTCTCCCTGACCTGTAATAGCTAATAGAGCACCTACAAGGTAATCTATGGAAGTGAAATTGACACTTTGAGAAGCAATGACTTTGAACAGCCCTTGTCTCCACTGTTGAGGAAGTTTTGTTTCCCCCACACTACTTGTTAAGCTCTTTACTTAACATAGAGTTAATGATATGTGCATAAAGTTATTGGAAAATAGATATTAGTAGAAAATAAGAATGGGAATAGAAGAAGGAGGAGGAAGAGGTGTGGGAGTGTGGGTGGGAGGGTGGGTACAGTGGGAAGCAACACCATGTTCCTAAAGTGGTAATTATGAAATGTATGAAGTTTGTATTCCTTAAATAAAAGGCTCTGGGAATAAATATTTACAGTAAAACAGACTGCCTTAATAATTTTATTATTGATTATGTAGTAAGAAAATACTTTTTGAAGAATATTAGTTAACGGCTGGCGCCGCAGCTTACTAGGCTAATCCTCCGCCTTGCGGCGCTGGCACACTGGGTTCTAGTCCCGGTCGGGGCGCCGGATTCTGTCCTAGTTGCCCCTCTTCCAGGCCAGCTCTCTGCTATGGCCCAGGAGTGCAGTGGAGGATGGCCCAAGTGCTTGGGCGCTGCACCCCATGGGAGACCAGGAGAAGCACCTGGCTCCTGCCTTCAGATCAGCGCAGTGCGCCGGCAGCAGTGCGCCAACCGCAGCAGCCATTGGAGGGTGAACCAACGGCAAAGGAAGACCTTTCTCTCTGTCTCTCTCTCTCACTGTCCACTCTGCCTGTCAAATAAATAAATAAATAAATAAAAAGAATATTAGTTAACAAAATATTTAAAATTAATCATTTCTATTTGATTTTAGATTTTAATGTGTTACCAGATATTTCAATAAGTTTGACTTTGATTTTTAAATAAACATAATTTCTAATGTTTAATGTTACATTTTCTTTCACTCATGGATGTTTTCCCTTTCCCACTTCTGCTACTTCTCCATCTCTTCTCCTTCTTACTGCTTCTTCTGTAGTGACAACTTAAAGTATTTTGAATTTTCACATATATTTTAGATTCTTCTTCTCAGTTTTCCCCCAATATCTTGCCAGTATTGTTGAGGGAATTTTGCTACTTGTAAATGGTAGGAAGGATATAACATTTCTGAATAATAATATGCCTTCTAATCCAATAACATAATATAGTCTATTGTTTCCTACATTTTCTTTAATTTTACTCAGCAATATTTTGTAGTTGTCAACTTAGAGGTCTTCTGCATCTTTTCCATATTGCTACTCTTTTTTTTTTTTTTTTTTTGACAGGCAGAGTGGACAGTGAGAGAGACAGACAGAGAGAAAGGTCTTCCTTTGCCATTGGTTCACCCTCCAATGGCCGCCGCGGCCGGCGCGCTGCGGCCGGCGCTCTGCGGCTGGCGCACCGCGCTGATCCTATGGCAGGAGCCAGGTACTTCTCCTGGTCTCCCATGGGGTGCAGGGCCCTAGCACTTGGGCCATCCTCCACTGCACTCCCGGGCCACAGCAGAGAGCTGGCCTGGAAGAGGGGCAACCGGGACAGAATCCGGCACCCCAACCGGGACTAGAACCCGGTGTGCCGGCACCGCAAGGCGGAAGATTAGCCTAGTGAGCTGCAGCGCTGGCCTCATATTGCTACTCTTAATTTAAGCTTATTGCTCTTGATTTCAGAAAATATGCTGATTCCACTTACCGATTTTAATGTGTATTGGTTTATTTCTTCCAGATTTTCTTTTGGGTAATCATGTAATTTCTGCATATAATTCTGTTCTTTTTTCCAATATTCTGTCTTTTATTTTTTGTTTCTGTTTATACTCTGGGCAGAATCTCTAGTGAAATATGAATAGAAGTAGAAGTAATAGTGAACATTCTTCTCCTGGTGCTAATATTTTTCAATCCTAAATATAATAAAAGCTGTGGTTTTCAATTCTACATTTAATAAAATTCTGTAGGTTCCTTCTAAGCATAGCTTTATTGAACAATTTTTTTAAAGTGAGTGGTTAATTTTATGGATTGTCGGAGGGGCATCGATTGTGATGAGTATAAATAGCTATCATTTATGATAGTTTTTTATTTTAAAGTTTTATTTTTTTAAGGAAAAATTACAGGGGTGGGGTAGGGAGCAAGGGAGGGACATAAGGAGAGGAAGAGAGGGAGAGAGGGAGGGAGGGAGGGAGAGAGAGAGAGGGAGAGAGAGAATCTTCCATGTGGTTCACTCCACAAATGTGGTTTACTCCACAAATGTGGTTTACTCCACAAATGGCCAAAACATCTAGGGCTGGGCCTGGCCAAATCCAGGAGTCAGGAGCCTCAACTGTGTCTCCCACATAGGTGCAGGGGCCCAAGTACCGGGGCCATCTTCAGCGCTTTCCCAGGTGCATCAGCAGGGAGCTGGACAGGAAGTGGAGTGGCAGTGACCTAACCTATTATGCCACAATGCTAGCTCCCCTTGAGTCTGTTAATGTAAGTCAAATTGGTCATAATATATTTTATATATTTGATTTTTTAAGATTTTCTTTTAAAGATGTTTCTCTGTTCATGTGTTCTTTCGTCTCTTATTAGGTTTCATATCCTTGCACGATTGAATATTTATTCTGGGCTAATACAACTATTTTGAAGCACTTATTTCTATGCGAAAAAATTGTAGTATCTCATTCTCAAACATTTAGAAAAATTTATCAATGAAGCTAGCTAGTAAATATACGTTTTGAAGAACTAATTTAAAATATGGTTTTAATTTCTTTAATAAATACAACACATACACATTTGCTTTCTTCTTATTTTGTTAGTAGTATGAATTGTGCTACTGAGGAATTTGTTTATTTCACCTAAGTTGTCAAGTATTCACAAGATTTGAGCAAAAGATTTTAAGAGGTACTTAACAAAAGAAAAACTCAAGTGATTAATAACCAAATGAAAAAGTGTTAGGGTTTGTACCACATCTGCTCCGGGCTTCTGCCTGGCCCACCTCTAGCCATTACAAACACTTGGTGAGTGACCCAGTGATGGAAGATTTTCTCTCTCTCTCTCTCTCTCTCTCTCTCTCATCTCCCTTTCTCTGTAACTCTTTTTTTTTTTAAAGATTTATTTATTTATTTGAAAGGCAGAGTTACAAAGAGGCAGGGGTAAAGAGAGAGAGAGAGAGAGAGAGAGAGAGAGGCCTTCTATCCACTGGTTCATTCCCCAGATGGCCACAGCAGCTGGAGCTGAGCCAATCCAAAACCAGGAGACAGGAGCCTCCTCCAGGTGTCCCACTTGGGTGCAGGGGCCCCCAGGTCCATCTTCTACTGCTTCCCCAGGCCACAGTTGAGAGCTGGAGCAGCCGGGACTCAAACTGGTGCCCATACGGGATGCCAGCACTACAGGTGGTGGCTTTACCTGCTATGCCACAGTGCCAGCCACTGTAACTCTTCCAAATAAATAATAAATATTTTTAAAAAATAAATAATTTATTAATATTAAAACTCAGGAAATACAAATTATAATTAGAGACAGTACTACCATATGCTCATCAAAAGAACTAAATTTAAATGTACACTTGAGATTTTGGATATTTATACAGTTTGCACAAAACCACTTTGAACAATTTATTGTACATAGGCTACATCTCCTAAAATAATTAGTGTGACAATAAATTAAATATCACTTTCTGTAATATTCCTTGACAAAAAATTCTGCTATGAAGGCTGTAATATTTGATAAAGAAGTCATTTTGTTTGTGTCTAGAGCAGCGAAGCCTGAAGAAAGCCTTGAGTGATGAGCATGTTGCAGAAACCTTGAGTGCCTTTCAGAAGGAATTTTATTTGATGAGCTGGAAAGTGAATTCAAAGTTTAACTTTCCACGTTGAAAAGAGTGAAATTTGTTTATACATGCAAAGATAAATACAGTAACACCATAGTCTAAGAAATCCTTTAGGTATCTCCCCATGCAATATAAGTGATAAGTGCCAAATAAGTATATTTTGGTATTATAATAAAAAGCTTAATAGTTTTTTTACAAAGCAAGAAAATCGATCAAACAATAACAAAATAAATAGAACAATTTCTCCTATGTATAAATGATAGGTTAGTGCATGTTGATATTATCACTTATTTACACTGCACCTGTTTTCCTCAAGGCCATTTTGTGTCTTTTCAATATTAGGTTAAAAATTGTATTGCTAATTCTATTAATTCTACCCAGAGAAGGAAAGCTCTGTAGGCGTAGATGCTGCCTAATGAAAACACCTAATAATGTTCAGCCACTGTTGTGGAGAAACAGGACAAGAACAGCGAAGGTGCTTCCATTCAACCCGTGACAGATGTGCTGTGTTCTTCAAAGGGCCTGAGCTAAGAGTTTGTAAGTAATCAACCCAGAGACAACAGTATCAACGTAATTTTGGATATTGTTGACCAAGCTTTCCTCTGAAATCCCAACATACTTAGACAAAATGGTTGTGTCAGCCATGCATTGACATAGATGTGGACAAATGTGCAAAACAAGAAGTGAGTTAGCTGTTGTTTGCTGTGAAGAGACTAAATAATAAAGAATAGCACATTTCTGTTATTTTAACCATGAACTATTCTGGCAAATTACAGTGCCGACAAAGCTCCCAAATCCAAGAGGAACTAATTATAAAAGAAAATTACAATGTAGTTATGTCAAGTATCAGAGGGATGTGACTCTTAGGAAATAGTTATTTCCAATTAAATTGATAGCCTTGATTTTTATTCAGATTAAATTATATTCATGGCCATCAATGTTTTCTAAGATTTTCTGTAACAAGGTAAAATATAATACAATTAATCTTGTCTCAATATTATGTTCCAAAATTCTTCTTACTTTGGAATTTTGAAAGTTTAGTGTTTTCTGCTTTTAAAATAGACATTAAGATTTTATAACCCTGTCTATATAAGGAAACATGGCTATACTGTTTAGACTTTAATACCTTATTTTTGTGTCTTCCTGATTGTGGAAAGCTATACACTAATGAGAGTTTTCAAAGATTCTAACGTGCCATGTGCATGACCTTTTAATTGCCAAGGGAATTAATTCACATCATATAAGGTGTTCCAGACTCATTAATTGACACATTTCTCACATTGTCTCATACAACTTCAAAATAAAAAGGATTTCTTTGTTATTAGAATTGGAACATAGGAAAGAAGACGGAAGGAAGTAGAAGTGGGAAAAAAATCCAAAATAATCTCAGTGACTTGAGAGGTATGAATAAAACATATTTAAGATGTTTTTATGCTTTTGCTTTATGAAATGAAATGTCCTTTTTTATTTTTTCTAATTTCAATAGTAAGGCACATTTATTACGGGATACTTTTTGTTATCAAGAGGTATAAGAAAATATGAGACATGTTATTTTACTCTCCAAAGTAAGTCACTAAAATACTTTGACATGCAGAATGTCAAGGTATTTTCTTTTACTGACATTAAACTATTTTTCACTTGTTTAAATATATTTGTATATTCATTTAAACATCTTATATTTTACTTTGCTCAAATATAGAGCTCTTGAAATTATCCTTACTGATTTGTAAGAATTTCACATTAAACATATGTATATATAATATATATAACATATTATTATATATAATTAGTACATAATGTACTATACATAATGTAATCTTCTCCCTGAGAGAAGAACTGAATATTTGGTCCTTTCTTCTGCTTTAAAGAAATGAAAGTAAGAGGATATCTGAATTAGAGCAACTATAGATTTGTGTGTATCAAAGATTCATTGCATTTTTCATCTGTTTATTTGACTTCAAGCAGCAACTACAGAACTGACTCCTAAATTGTGAGTGTTCCATACTCCATCTAATCAGTTTTGTGTTTTTCTTGGTCCTTTTATTCTATTTGAAAACATTTTGGCTCCTAATTCACTTTTATGTTCCTTGATCATTAAACACTGTAGAAATAAGTTTTACAAAGCAAGAGCCCTCTTCTCTGTCTATGGAGAACCAATAATCTGTTCCTCAAGGTCACCAAGGTGGCAGGGAGCTTCCACACCCTCTTTCAACCTTTGTCAAGTCAACTTTCTCGAGATGACTGTACAAGTGAGTTATGTTGATAGCTTCAATGCTGGTTTCACATATTGGCCTATGGCTGATAATCTTTGCTGGGAAATTATGTCTATTGAAAAAATTTTGTATTTTCCATTTAATACTTTTAATTATTTTTGTATATGTGAGTGGACTTTAGGAAGTGGACTTAAATGAATATGTATTTCATTTTTTATTTTTTTCTCACAGAATTTAATCTGTTTCAAATTTATTTTAGGTAACATCTACTATCAGCCAAATAAATGGAAAGACTAAATCACTCCATGGTGTCTGAGTTTATTTTGCTGGGACTCACGGAGTCTCATGAGTTACAGATTTTCTTTTTCTTATTTTTTTCTCTCATCTACATGTTGATTGTGTTAGGAAACATCATCATTATCATCGCAGTGAAACTGGACCCTCAGTTGCATTCTCCCATGTACTTCCTACTGGCCAACCTTTCCTTTATTGATATGTCTCTGGCCTCCTTTGCCACTCCTAAGATGATCTATAATTTAATCAGCAAATATAAGACAATTTCCTATGAAGGCTGCATGGCACAGATGTTTTTCCTTCACCTTTTAGGTGGAAGTGAGATGATGCTACTTGTAGCCATGGCAATTGATAGATATATTGCCATATGCAAACCCCTCCACTACAAAAATATTATGAGTTCTCGTGTTTGTGTCGGGCTTGCACTTCTCTCCTGGACCACTGGCTTTGTGCACACCATGAGTCAAATGGTTTTCACAGTGACTTTGCCATTCTGTGGTCCCAATGTTGTGGATAGTTTTTTCTGTGATCTGCCTCGGGTGATCAAACTTGCCTGCACTGACACTTATGTCTTGGAACTATTAGTCATTGCAGACAGTGGACTGCTCTCCTTGTTCTGTTTCATTTTTCTGTTCATCTCCTACAGCATCATCCTGACTACTGTCCAGCATCGCTCCTCCAAGGGGTCTTCCAAGGCTTTGTCTACTCTTTCAGCTCATATTACAGTGGTTGTGCTGTTCTTTGGACCTTGCATCTTTATCTACGTATGGCCTTTCAGCAGTGTCTCCATTGATAAGGTCCTCTCTGTATTTTATACAATTTTTACTCCACTTTTAAACCCACTCATCTACTCATTCAGGAATAAAGATATGAAGAAAGCATTAAGAAAAATAAAGACCCAGTATGTCAGTTCCAGATCAGTTTTTTAGCTGAAATGTTATAAGCACCAAAAACATAATTACCCTGCCATCATCATTATCATAGCCATCATTATCATCATCCAAGGACATAAGGTGTATGATTTTTTTATCAAACAGAAATCACGTTTTGGGAAATGATAATCTTCCTCTACATGCAATAATATATCCTGATTTGTCCATCAAAGTACAAACCATTCCAATACATCATTACTTACATGGTAATTATAAGGTTTTTTTAATAAATTTAATCGTTTTAATTTATTATGTTTGAACCATCTGAAGGCACAGCAGTGAAACAGACATATTGTCGTCAACAGAGAACAAAACTGAGCATTAGAAATTATAACAGACTTGCCACAGAAATTGTAATTATTGGACCCGAAATCACATGCTACACATAGCTCCAAAATATATGCATTCCAAACTAAAGATATTTATCCCGTACCTTGAATAACATTCAAGATTTTTTGTTTTCTTTGCCCTCCTTTGGAGGACAAAGTTCCGAATAAATAAATCTTTCCAACAAGAAGGTAGAAGAGTCTTCCATTAATCCTGAAGTAAAAACAATCACCTAGACATTTCAGTGTTCTCTCTGATGCTATTATGGATCACACTGATTCAGGTGCATCAGGACTGTCGTTTTACAAGAGCATGGTAAAGACCACATCTGAAACAAAAATTATGTGTTGTAGCACCTCATCGCATTTGCATATCGAGTAGTAAAAAAAGAGCATTACATAACCTAGTTTAAAAAAAATCAATTGCTTTCACCAAGTAAACAGTTACCGTCATTAGAAATCCTGATGAAATCACAAGAAAATGCAACAGTAAAATAAGGGAACAACCAAGGTTAACTGAGTTTTTTTTCTTTTTTAATGTTTATGTATTTTTATTTAATCAGCATTTAATCACTCACTGGTTGACACACATCTGGGCTGTTTGTAGTTTTGGCTGTTACAAATAAAGCTCATGTGAACAATTTTTGCCAAGACTGTATGTAAACATGCTTTTATTTCTCTTGTATAAATAGCTAGAAATGGAGTGACTTACCTATTTAGTAGGTGAAATTTTAGCTTTTTAAGAAAGAGCAAAACAGTTTTCTATATAGTGTTTGCACTATTTAACATTCCCACCAAGGGTGTAAAGAATTCCAGTTCCTCCATATCTGTATCAACACTTACTATGATTTTTTTTTTAATTCTGACGTTCTGTGTGTATAGGCAGGTACCTCACTGAGGATTTAATCTGTATTCCCCAAATGTCTATTGAGCATCTTTTTATGTGGTTAATTGCTATTCATGTATCTTCCTAGATTGTTTGCTTAAATATTTTGCACATTTTAAAAAATGGATCCATTGGCTTACTGTCAAGTTTTGAAAATTCTTCCTGTAGTCCACAGACAAGTTCAGATTTATGCTTTAAACGACAGCCTCCAGTCTGTGCTTTGTGTTTTCATCCACTAACAATGGCTTGCAAAAATCATATATTTTTAATGTTGAGGAGATTCAATTTATCAATTTATGTGCTTTTTGATTGGACTTTTGGTGACCTTTCTAAGAAATTTTTGCCTATCCAAAAATCTCAGAGGATGTCCCATGAAAATATTATAGTTTTATGTTTCACATTTAGATATGTGACAAACTTTCAGCTATTTTTCTAAAATAACTTGTTAGATTCTCAGAGGCACAGCAAATGCAATGTAATTGCTACACAAAATTCTCATCAATTCTCATGTGAAATTAATACAAAGAGAACAGATTCAATGTGGTTTGTAGATACCATTCTAAAAAGATAATAATTCCTTGTCTTCCCTCCCTCCCTCCCTTTCACTGCTTCTCCCTGGCTATTATCCAGGAGCTGGATCAGGAGTAGAGCAGCCAGGACACGAACCAGCACCCACACAGGATGCTGACATTGCAAGCAGCAGCTTTACCCACTATGCCAAGATGCTGTCTTCCCTCTCCCCCCCTTTTTTTCTCACTAAGGATCACTTTGGCTTTTCAGGACCATTTGTGATTCCATATGAAGTTCAGGATTATTTTTGTCTAATTCGTCAATAAATGTCATTAGTTGTTTGATACATATTGCATTAAATCTGGAGAATTCTTTAGGTAGTATAGACATTTTAATGATACTGATTCTTCCAATCCATGAACAAGGAATATATTCATTTTTTTGTGTCTTTGATGATTTATTTCAGCAATGTTTTATCATTTTCATTGTAGAGATGTTTCACTTCTTTGGTTAAATTTACTTCTAAATATTTGATTTTTCTTTTTTCTGTGGCTATTGTGAATAGAATTTCTTTCCTGATTTTTCTTTTAGCGAGTTCATCAGTAACATACAAAAAGCTGCTGGGTTTTGTGTGTTTATTTTTTAACCTGCAACTTAACTGAATTGGTTTATCAGTTCTAACAGCTTTCTGGTGGAGTGTTTAGACTTTTCAATGCACAGTATCATGTCATCTGCAAACATGGATATTTTGACTACTAGTAGTAAAATGGTGATATAGAAATTAAGAATATTTTTCCATAACCTATATTAACTTACAATGATAATCAGTAGATGGCTTAAAATCATTCAATAAATGTAATTTTAAATGATTTAAATATCCATGACTGAACAGCAAAAAATCAAAAGCCATGTTCCACTGAGTAAACACTTGTATTTTCTGCCACTATTGGAAATGGCTAAAATGAGCAATATAATGATAAATTAAAATATCAAACACTACTAAAAGTATGATGATTTTGTCATTCATATATAAAACCTTTCTTATCAACTGTAATGATTCTTTTTTTAAAAGATATTTATTTATTTAAAAGTCAGAGTTACAAAGAGAGAGAGAGGCAGAGAGAGAGAGAGGTCTTCCATCTGCTGGTTCACTCCCCAATTGGCCGCAATGGCCGGAGCTGCACCCATCCAGAGCCAGGAGCCAGGAGCTTCTTCCAGGTCTCTCACGCTGGTGCAGGGGCCCCAGGTCTTGGACCATCCTCCGCTGCTTTCCCAGGCCATAGCAGAGAGCTAGATCAGAGGTGGAGCAGCCGGGTCTTGAACTGGTGCCCATATGGGATGCTGGTGCTGCAGGCCAGCCCCCTGCAATGATTCTTTTAATAAAAGCAAGGCAGGCCGGTGCCGTGACTCAAAAGGCTAATCCTCGGCCTTGTGGCGCCGGCACCCCCGGTTCTAGTCCCAGTCAGGGCACCGGATTCTGTCCCGGTTGCCCCTCTTCCAGGCCAGCTCTCTGCTGTGGCCCGGGAGTGCAGTGGAGGATGGCCCAAGTGCTTGGACCCTGCACCCCATGGGATACCAGGATAAGCACCTGGCTCCTGCCTTCGGATCAGCGCGATGCTGGCCGCGGCAGCCATTGGAGGGTGAACCAACGGCAAAAGGAAGACCTTTCTCTCTGTCTCTCTTTCTCACTGTCCACTCTGTCTGAAAAAAAAAAAAAAAAAAGCAATCGGGGGAGGAAGTGAAGTTTCATTCTATTATTACAATTATATCTGCTCTCTTTATATTAATAAAAAGTTAAAGCTATACCTATAACAAAGTCTATATTAAGCCATGGGTTAAGTAGTGAATTTGGCTGGAACTGAACAAGAAAATTGGTGACAGCTGACAAATTTTGACCATGGTGAATTTATTCACAGCATTTGTTGGGAAATAGCAGAAGCATACTTTGAAAGCTGTGTTAAAAATCAGTGTGATTAATTATAAAAGCGACACCTTGTAGAACAAGCTTTTATTATTTTGTTTTATAAGAAATGGATAATGATTATGAAAATATTCTGTAGCATATTCTTTGAATACCCCAAATTATCTAAACCAAAAAATAATTGTTCATATCTTATTAAACATGAAATAATTGAAGTATTTACAGTATAAAATTTTTAAATAATGTAACAATTTATTTTATATCTCAACATTTCTGTTTCCTAAATATTTTATATGGTACATAACACAGAAGTTTAATAATAAAATTATAGTGTATATACATAAATTGTGTATATTCAAGAATTTCTGCTAATAAAATTTGGAGATGATTCTTATTAAATAAATTACTTCCTTGGGACCAGCATTGTGGTGTAGAAGGTAAAGACACCACCTATTAGGCAGTGTCACATTTGGGTGCAGGCTCGTTCCCCTGCTGCTCTACTCCCAATCAAGCTCCTTGCTAATGGCCTGAGAAAAGCAGTGGAAGACAGCCCAAGTTTTGGGCTCCTGTCACCCATGTGGGAGACCTGGAAGAAGCCTTTAGCTCAGCCTTGGTGTTGTGGCCATATTTCTCTCTCTCTCTCTCTCTCTCTCTCTCTCTCTCTCTCAATTCTGACTTTCAAATTATGTGTGTGTATATATATATATATTTTCTCAAAGTTGCTGGAAAGAAGCATGAAAGTAATGTGAGGGAGGGAGGGAAGGGAAACATTGTTGAATCAAAGTGGCTCACACATATTTCACAGTCCATCAGGCAACACTCTCACAGCCATTTTCACCAAGCCACCACCCAGAGAAAACCCACAGTACATCACAGGGTCATACATTCAGTGTAAACACCTTTCCTGGTCACACTAGAGCAATGGCTCAGTATTCTAACAACTCCCACTGAACTTTGGATTCCCAGAGCTACAGGAAATCCACTCCCAAAGCGGTTCACAGCTTTTTAAAAGAGGCATAAAGTACTATGAAGAATGACACATAAGAACACAGATAAAAATCAGATTTTAAATTTTCAATAATTATTTGGATAAGCTTCTCATACTGTGCCTTTAAAAAAGGTAAGTTAATAAGTTGATCTTCTGTATATAAAGATAATTAAAATGAATCTTAATGAAGAATGGGATGGGAGAGGGAGTAGGAGATGGGATGGTTTGTGGGTGGGAGGGAGGTTATGGGGGGAAAAAGCTGTTATAATCCAAAAGTTGTACTTTGTAAATTTATATTTATTCTATAAAAGTTTTCTAAAAAAGAAAAGGTAAGTTAAAATACTATAGAGAGCTAATTAGAAATTTAATTTCCTTGGGATCCCTTTTGAATAATGTTGTGTTGGCTGGAAGGGAAAGGTTTTGGCTTTTGAGAAACCAAGTCACATTAACTGGGAGGCCACACAAAATTATTTCACAATGAGCTGGAATCAAGAATTTCTGTGAATATTGAAAGGAAATATGCTCTCTCAGAGTAATATTGCAGAGTAATATTTGGCAGCTGAGAGTGATTAAATTTATAATGAATACAAATAAAGGACATACATCCTTGTCATTTAGAATGTTAATACTACCACGAAAAATCATGGAAAAACCAGCAAAATACCACTGTTTTTACAGATAGGAAAGATTTTTCTTTTCATTAAGTTTCAGGTTTTGAGAAAATATGTAAAAAAGCATATCATATTTACAGCTAAAATAGGAGCTGAAAAGAGAATTAATTATAATGAGATATCTAGAAAATCTGTATGTATATTAAAGTTACAATTACACTATAAATACAACTAAGTCCTTAAATAATTAAAGATGGACAAGCCCTTAGAAGCTGGCCATATATAAGGGAATAAAACTTGTGAGTAACTCATTATTCTAAATCCCATTATTCTAAATAATGGGAAAAGTAGGATAGCAAGTTTCCAAATGCATAAGGCAGCCCAACATACAAATTTAAATGGCCGACCTGAAGAAATTTTAAAGCCAGATTCTGGATCTATAATATGTTCTTGACTGCTTCAGACTGCAGTATATGTGAGTTCAAGCAGGTGTGTAGTAGTGGAAAACTAGACTTAAAAATGCTAAATTTATGAAAAAGAATCCCAAGGAAAGATGTAGAAAATACGGTTATTTACGTTTTATTGAATGTAATCTGTACCTATAAAGTTCACCAATTTTAAGTACACACATCAGGGATTATTGTATATTTATATAGCTGTATAACCATCAACACAATCTTAATTCAAATCATTTCCATCTGCACCAGGGGAAACCTTGGATCATTTACCGACATTCCCCAGCCTCGAGTGACCGCTTCTAGACTTTCTGTCGCTGTGGATTTGTCTTTGTTTTTTGCATTTCGTATCATGGAATTATACAAGTGATCCTCTGTGTCAGACTTATTTACTAAGCATAATGTTTTGAGATTTGTTCTTTTATCATAAGTATGTATGGTTTTGAATTAAGATAGTCAAGGATAAAATTATACTTTTTGTTCAAATGGCAATAAAGAAAGGAGAATCAAATATTTACTTGAAAAATATATATTTGCTCTTCAAATATTTATTCAAAATATATTTATTTTTATATCAAATAATATATACTGCATATACATAGGGAAGTATAAAAATGTTTATATCCAACTATTGAATAAAGCAAGCCTTGCTTCGTTCCTCCTAAAAGGGATATAAAGATGGAAAGTTCTTGAATTATGGCCTTAGTATTACTTGAGTGACTCACAGCCAATATATACCCCCTCACTACTCAGTCTGTGCCTGGAATGGAGCTTATACCTACATGATCATCACATCTCTTTGGGATGGGCCTGCCACTAAGACTTGCAAAGATTTACTTTTAATTAAGCAGATATTGAGTTTTCAATTATTAGATTAGATGTAGAAAACAAATGTTTACAAAATTCCCTCAAAGCTTTTTCATACTATTATTTATCTTCAATTTCCTCAACAGCATATCAAGAATCGAGTGAAAGTACTTGTTACAAGACATGTTACTGATTATTTAAGGTAAAGAAAATTTTCATCACTTGTAGAATTTTTGCCTAAACTACATGATTTCTTTCTTTTAACTACATTGTCTTTGTACACTCAGAATTTAAGAATAGTGCATTAAATGTAGTCCTAGCAGCTCACTAGGCTAATCCTCCGCCTTGCGGCGCTGGCACACCGGGTTCTAGTCCCAGTCAGGACACCGGATTCTGTCCCGGTTGCCCCTCTTCCAGGCCAGCTCTCTGCTGTGGCCAGGGAGTGCAGTGGAGGATGGCCCAAGTGCTTGGACCCTGCACCCCATGGGAGACCAGAAGAAGCACCTGGCTCCTGCCATCGGATCAGCTTAGTGCGCCGGCCGCAGCGCGCTGGCCGCGGCAGCCATTGGAGGGTGAACCAACGGTAAAGGATGACCTTTCTCTCTGTCTCTCTCTCTCACTGTCCACTCTGCCTGTAAAAAAAAATAAAAAATAAAAAAATAAAAAAAAGAAATATTTTCAGAAAGCATGCTTGGAAAAGGAAAGAAATAAGAGAATCAAATGCTGGGAAAGTCACTGTCACAAAATAAAAGGTCAAATGAGATTTTCTCAATCTGTACTGAATTATACTAATTTCTTTTCCAAATTGTTCTGTTATATCACAGAGCATGTAATACCAACGACGAGTTATTCATACCCAAATTATACCAGACACATTCATTCGTTCTAACAATTGTCCACAATTTTCATTTCTCCAAAGTATATCTTACTATTAAAAAAGTCTAAAAGAAAATTCTTGCCAATTCATAAAAGCGTTTAACAAAATCCTGCAAAACTGTGATATGATGGATCTCTCAATATACTCCTCCAAGGCACAGCCCATCATTCAACACCCCTTCAATACGCTCCTGAGTTTGACCTATGGGAACAGCTTTGTTTTCATATTTTTTTCCCTTAATCGGTAAACATCATCCATTTCTTAAAAATATTTAAGGTAGGAAAATAAATGAGGAGTTAAGCTGGATAACAGTGATAGTTGGATAACAATGATAGGTGATTCTAACAAGAAACTGAGTAGAAATGAAAATAAGGAGCGAATTACAGGCCATGTGACAAAAGAGAACAGGTATTTCCTATTTGCCTACACATCTTACTTTGGTCCTTTTTCTATTTTCTAATTACACCACTCTTCCTGTTCATTGCTATTAATTCTTTTCTTGTAAATGCTTCTATCCCATCTCTTGATTTACTGACTGCAAAAAGTTTATTTTTAAGTGTTTTGAAGGCAATAACAAGGCTAAAATTGTGTCTTGGAATTGACTGGCATTCTTTTAAAATTCTTATAATATTTTCCATATATCCTGTAGTAAGTTAAATATTTTATGATTTCTTATTTTTCTTAATCACATTTGTCTAGATTGTAAACTTTCTCTAGGACATTGATTCTTTCTTTTTTTTAAAGATTTATTTATTTATTTACTTGAAAGAGTTACAGCATGAAGGGGGTGAAAGAGACAGAGAGAGACAGAGAGAGAAAGAGAGAGAAACAAACAAGATTGGGCCAGGCCAAAGCCAGGAGTCAAGAACTTCTTGCAGGTCTCCCGCATTGGTGCAGAGGCCCAAGGATTTAGGCCAGGTTCCACTGCTTTCCCAGGCACATTAGCAGGGAGATGCACTGAAAGTTTAACAGCCAGGACTGAAACAACCACAGCAGTTAATTAAGCAGTTCAGTTGATTATAACATAGAAGGACCCAAACACACCTGTTGAATCATATCCCCTATGCAATTCATACGGAATATGCAAATTAAATAAATAAGCCTATAAAGTTATATATATATGTTTAATTTTGAAGGAAATATGGTGTGTTGCTATACCCCCAGATGCTGGTGTCATATTGAGCTTGAATATTAGCTGTGAGCTTTGCTAGGTACATACTGGTGAATAAGTTATTACATATTTTTGTACCACAGTTTCCATATATGCAGCATGAGGGCAATAATGGTACTTATATTGTGTCATTGTTATGAGCACTAACTGCATTAATTAACATGAAACATTTAGAATGCATGTACTCAGTAGTTACTCTATTTTTCATCACTCTAATTTTGTGAAAATTGCTGAAAGAACTCAGTAGAGATGGCTTGGTATTATATATTGTAACACAAGCATCATCTGTACATTAGGACTGAATCACTTTAATACTTATTTCTAAACCAACATACACATATACCACACAAACTCACCACTGTGAACAGCGGTAACATAAGGGATTGGACAAAACAGACTCAAAAAGATCTGTTGTTACGTCTGTGTATCCTGAAATCCTTAGTAAACTATGTAACAGAAATTGTAAAGCAGAATTATTTTCAATGAGTTAAAAGACTCTCTCATATGTAATGTATCCCCTCAGGTGTGTGTATACTTGTTTGCTTCATAAATTATTTCAGGACAAAGAAAATCCTCCATTTTCCAAATATTACATTCCTTCTCTATAAGATTACATAATCCCAAAGGATAGGTGGATGAATCTATAATAATAAAAGAAAATAAATAGTAACTAATTACCATCAATCTTTCTGTGTCAACAAAACAGAAGACCAAGGTGAAACGATAAGAGTATAAAGAGATAAGAGAATAAAACAACAGAAAAGGGAACTTCCATTCCTTCAAATGTTTTATTACAGTGTAACTGGGAGTATAATTATTTTTCAAAGTAATGTGATACATAAATTGATCTCAAATTATAGACATTTGTGTATATATTTAAAAGTGAAATGATGGGGCAGGCATTGTGGCACAGCGGTTAAGCAGCCAGTGGGGACAACAGCATCTCATGTGAGTGCTAGGTTCAAGTCCCGGGTCTGCTACTGATCCAGCTTCCTGCTAATGCACACCCTGGGAGGTACCCAGCGCTTGCTAAGCACTTGGATCCCTGCTGCCACATAGAAGATCCAATGGAGTTCCTGGCTCCTGATTTCAGCTTGGCCCAGCTCTTTCTATTGTGACTAACTGGGGAATGAACTCGCAGATGGAAGATTCTCCTCTCTCTCTCTCTCTCTCTCTCTCTCTCACACTGTGTGTGTGTGTGATTCTGCTTTTTAAATAAATAAACAGAACTTTTTAAAAAAGTTAAGTACATCAAGCACAGAAAGGCAAGTACTTCATGACCTTACTCATATATGGAATTTTTTTTTTGACAGGCAGAGTTAGACAGTGAGAGAGAGAGAGAGACAGAGAGAAAGGTCTTCCTTCCGTTGGTTCACCCCCCAAATGGACACCACGGCCAGCGCGCTGCCCCGATCCAAAGCCAAGAGCCAGGTGCTTCTCCTGGTCTCCCATGCGGGTGCAGGGCCCAAGGACCTGGGCCATCCTCCACTGCCTTCCCAGGCCACAGCAGAGAGCTGGACTGGAAGAGGAGCAACCAGGACAGAATCCGGCGCCCCAACCGGGACAAGAACCCGGAGTGCCAGTGCCGCAGGTGGAGGATTAGCCTAGTGAGCCACGGTGCCGGCCTCATAAATGGAATTTTAAAACATTGATCTTACAGAAATTGAGAGTATAATGATGGTTACCAGAAGTTGGAGAGAGAAAGGGAACAGAAGGGATGGGAAAAGTTTGATTAACAGGTACTAAGTCATTTTATATAGGAGTAGAATCCTGGAGTTCTATCACATAGAAGGGTGACTATAGAAAATGACAATGTACCATTTATCTCAAAATAAAAAAAACAAGACTTTTAGTGTTTCATAATAAAGAAATGTTAAATTTTGAGGATATAGAAACATGAAACCTAATTGGACACTGTGCAATGTATGCATGTATCAAAACATCATGTGTCATATAAATATATACATAATTTTACATGTCAATTAAAATTTCTTAAAATTATTTAAAAAATTTTGGATGGTTTTCAAATTTTTCACACAAAAATGAACTTATCTATTAATTCCAAATTAATTAATTAATAAAATTATACACTCATATTATCAATTACTCTTACCACCAACTAGTAGAAATAGTAAAACAGTGGTGCTAACTATGTTTTTTTAATTCTCTTTGTATAATAAAGAACTTCTGGAACCTTTCAAGTTGAGAAAATGGAACATAAAAATGGAACTGTGGTGACTGAATTTATTTTGCTAGGATTTTCTGGACGATGGGAACTTCACATTTTCTTCTTTGTGACGTTTTCCTTGATCTACAGTGCCACTGTGTTGGGGAACATTCTCATTATGGTCACGGTGACATTCAGCTACCCCCTTCATTCTCCTATGTACTTTCTTCTGGGGAACCTCTCTTTTCTGGACATGTGTCTCTCCACGGCCACAACCCCCAAAATGATCACAGACTTGCTCACTGAACACAAGACCATCTCCTTGGGGGGCTGCATGGCTCAAATGTTCTTCATGCACTTCTTTGGGGGTGCAGAGATGTCTCTTTTGATAGTCATGGCCTTTGACAGGTATGTAGCCATATGCAAACCCTTGCACTACAGGACAATCATGAACCATAGGTTGTTGAATAGGTTTGTGATTCTTTCATGGGTAGTTGGTTTTATACACACCATGAGCCAGATGGTATTAACTGTGAACCTACCTTTCTGTGGCCACAATGTCATAGACAGCATATTTTGTGACCTCCCCCTTGTCATCAGGCTTGCTTGTGTGGAAACATACACCCTGGAACTATTCGTTATTGCGGACAGTGGGCTGCTCTCCTTTATCTGTTTCATCCTGTTGCTTTTCTCTTACACTATCATTCTGGTCACTGTACAGAAAAAATCTTCTGGAGGGCTTTCCAAAGCTCTGTCCACACTGTCTGCCCACATCATTGTGGTCACTCTGTTCTTTGGACCTTGCATCTTTATCTATGCCTGGCCATTTGGTAGCTTTGCAAGCAATAAAACCCTTGCTGTCTTTTACACTGTAATCACACCCTTACTGAATCCTATTATATACACCCTGAGAAATCAGAAAATGCAAGTGGCCATGAGAAAACTGCGATTCCAACACGTTAGCTCCACACAGAACTTCTAGATTTCAGAACTATATAGCTAATACAACTTTCAAATACTGCGGTAGGATAACATGAATAGATATTTTATATAAGGTATCATTACTTTAAATTGAGATAAAGCTGCTGTAGTACTTTTTTTTTTTTTTTTGACAGACAGAGTGGACAGTGAGAGAGAGAGACAGAGAGAAAGGTCTTCCTTTTGCCATTGGTTCACCCTCCAAAAGCCGCCGCGGCCGATGCGCTGCAGCCAGCGCACCGCGCTGATCCGAAGGCAGGAGCCAGGTGCTTCTCCTGGTCTCCCATGGGGTGCAGGGCCCAAGCACTTGGGCCATCTTCCACTGCACTCCCTGGCCACAGCAGAGAGCTGGCCTGGAAGGGGGGCAACCGGGACAGAATCCGGTGCCCCGACCGGGACTAGAACCCGGTGTGCCAGCACCTCAAGGCGGAGGATTAGCCTATTGAGCCACGGCGCCGGCCCAGTAGTACTTCTAATAGACACAATTTAAGATGTACATACAGTAAAATAGACATATGGAATAAATATTTTCCCATAAACATTCAATATGTGACTATTAGTGAAGAAATGACTGTAAAAGAATATGTGGATATTATGATAACTTTGATCGATATGGAAAATTAACATCCATACATTTATGCTGCAGCTGTTAGATGCCAAGAACAAATCATAACTGAAATAATGTTAATGATGGGAAAATATAATTTTAATTTATTGAATCAATGATGTAAAAACAATACTAGGGGCCAGAGCGTCCCATATTGGCACCCGTTCAAGTACTGGCTGCTCCACATTCAATCCAGCTTTCTGTTAATGGCCTGGGAAAGCAATGGAAAATGGCCTAAGTGCTTAGGCCCCTGTACCCGCATGGGGGACACAGAAGAAGCTCCATTATGGCCATTTGGGGAGTGAAGCAGCAGATGGAAGACCTCTCTCTCTGTCTCTCCCCCGTCTGTCTGTACATCTGCCTCTCAAATAAAAAAATAAATCTTCAGAAAATCCTAAATCAGCAATGTCAAAACATACCAAACAGAAGATGCCAGAGGAAAAGCCAATCAAAGGACAATTTCAGCAAATGAGAAAGAGCACCCCACGAAACCCAGTGCTCTGAATGTAAGTATGCACAGTTGATTAAAAAGCAACGTCTGTGTGTGTCAGTATCGTTCCAGATACAATTTTGTAAAACTTTGTTTTATACGCTTGTGAAACCATTAGTTAAGAATGTTACACTACTCTGGTTTTTAATGATCTGTAAATATTTTAAAATTTACTGTACATGGGTGAAATGGTCATTTTTCCTTTCAAGTATTGTTTTTATTGCCATTGTCTATATTCCCACTAAACTAGGGTCTTTTTGCTTTCTAGTTGGTTATACTTTTTATTCAGAGAAGTATTAAGCCTTCTTATTGTAATGTAAATTTAACATATGTAATCTCAAAAACACAAAAAAGGGAGAAGGGAGGAGTCTGGGAAGGAGGGAGGGAGGAAGGGACTCTCATTGTGTTCTTAGAATGGCATCTACAAAGCACACTGAATCCTTTAAAAACTAATTAAAAATTAAAATGAAAACTTTTTAAAAAATTATAACAACCAAATCTCCCCTCAAGGAACAATACCCATCATGAACATGAATGTAAATATTCTTTTTTTAAAAACTTTTATTTAATGAACATAAATTTCCAAAGTACAGCTTATGGATTACAATGGCTTCCCCCCATAACTTCCTTCCCACCCACAACCCTCCCCTTTCCCGCTCCCTCTCCCCTTCTATTCACATCAAGATTCATTTTCAATTCTCTTTATATACAGAAGATCAATTTAGTATTATTAAGTAAAGATTTCAACAGTTTGCACCCACATAGAAACACAAAGTGAAAAATACTGTTTGAGTACTCGTTATAGCATTAAAGCTCAATGTACAGCACATTAAGGACAGAGATCTTACATGGGGAGAAAGTGCACAGTGACTCCTGTTGTTGACTTAACAAATTGACACTCTTGTTTATGACATCAGTAATCACCCTAGGCTCTTGTCATGAGTTGCCAAGGCTATGGAAGCCTTTTGAGTTCGCCAACTCTGATCACATTTAGACAAGGTCATAGTCAAAGTGGAAGTTTTCTCCTCCCTTCAGAGGAAGGTACCTCCTTCCTTGATGACCTGTTCTTTCCACTGGGATCTCACTCACGGAGAGAATGTAAATATTCTTAACAGATTTTTACCAAGATGAATTCAAATACGTAAGAAAATTACAATATATCCAGATGGACATTTAGCCCAGTAGTTAAGATCCATGTTTGAGTACATGGGTGTGATGCCTGACTCCAGCACCTGACTGCAGCTTCCTGGTAATGCAGACCTGGGAGGAAGCAGGTGATAGCTCAACAATCGCATTCCTGCCACCCACATGGGAGTCTTTGACTGAGTCTCCAGCTGCCAACCTCAGCCCAGCATAACCCCACACATAGCAGGCACTGGAGAGGTGAACCGGTGGGTGGGATCCCTCTCTTTGTTTCTGTCTTTGTTTCTCTCTCTCTCTCAAATAAATGAATACTTTTTAAAAATCATTAAAAAAATAAAGCAAAAGCACAGTTCTTTAACTTTCATAATATATCACATAGCTTTATTTTCCAGGGACTTTACAAAACCCTAGCACATAAAAAATTTAAAACAAATGGAATGAAAGAGATAAAGCAGGCTTAGAATATTTGCTATTAGAAATTATATAGGTTTTTGTTGCTATGTGTCCAATAAATATCTTACAGGCTTACATTATAACATGCCTCATATTAAAGAAATCCCATTCACGTATACAGTAAAATATGACAGTGTATAAAATTATACTGTACCTGATAAAACATTTTGTAAGAGTGTTGTTTCTGTCACTATGGCACATTCAAGATACTAAAGCCTTTGCTTTGTTAGGTACACTGAGAAAATATTAAATAGAAAAAAAAAGTCAATTAATAAGATGTTTTAAAGATTTAATTGAGTATGAAAAATTGTAATAAAAAAGCTTAATTCCAAAATTTATTTATGTCTAGGGGATACATATGTGACCAATATGTGAAGAGTCATGACTGAAATGCATTGTCTTTACCAGCAATAAAAATTACTTTCAGTTTTTCATGACAGTTCATTTCAGTTTCATATATATTCCTGATCAAATGAAGTTAACACTGTCTCCTTGTGTTTATTTTAGGTATATGCCTGCTAGTTATGCTACTTCTTATCAACATTTACAAATGTGGGGTTTTTCTTATGATTAACAGTATTGTTTCATTAAATGATGTGTGCTTATGTAATAATATTAAGACATATATATCTTCATTTAAATAAATATAGAAGTAAACTGTGAAAAAGCACAAGATAGCATAAAATGAAGTCATAATTGACAAAGAAACAGAGCTTTCAGAAAAAGGAAAAATAAAATAATTAAAACTACAATTTTGTATAAAAGATAAATAGCAAAAATACTCCTGAAGAGAAAATTAGTGTACCAAAAGATAGTACATTATTAAAATGTGTTACAGAGACAAGGACATTTAAATATGGAATATAGATTAAGGAGGCAAAATCAAATTATATGTGATCTTACAGTAGGAAAAAATGTCAGAAAGATAATATTTAAGGACATTATGCTAAATTCTTTTCAAAATTTAGGTAAAAATATATGAATCAATCCTTAGTTTCCAGCAGATAAAGAAAAAACAAAAATCATACATAAGAAATTCAACATGGCATATTATTTTTGAAGAACAGATCACCAAAGGGAAGATATTTTAAAGGTAGACAAAATAGGAAAGTCAGATTACTCAGAATTGTTTTAAGTGCCCATAGTTGAATTCTATGTGCACTGATGTAGACCAGACAATAGTAAAATTTTTCAAAATGGCTGAGGGCTAGTTTATGAAAGAAATATTTCTATGAACAGACTTGTTGCTTTGCAGCAAAATGTATCCCATAAAATTATTCTATGTGTAAAACTAAAGAAATATTTACAGCCGGTGCCACGGCTCAGTAGGCTAATCTTCTGCCTGCGGCGCTAGCACACCGGGTTCTAGTCCTGGTCGGGGCGCCAGATTCTCTCCCGGTTGCCCCTCTTCCAGGCCAGCTCTCTGCTGTGGCCAGGGAGTGCAGTGGAGGATGGCCCAAGTCCTTGGGCCCTGTACCTCATGGGAGACCAGGAGAAGCACCTGGCTCCTGGCTTTGGATCAGCGCGGTGCGCCAGCCGTAGCAGCCATTGGAGGGTGAACCAACGGTAAAGGAAGACCTTTCTCTCTGTCTCTCTCTCTCACTGTCCACTCTGCCTGTCAAAAATAAATAAATAAATAAATAAACAAATAAATAAATAAAATTAAAAAAAGAAATATTTACAAAGGCAATTCTTGAAATTTAGAAAAAAATTGATAAAAGAAATAATGAGGACTCAAATAAATGGGAAAACATGTTTACATGAGTCCAAAGATGATTATTTTTTCCTCAAACCATTGCATAAAAGGTTGTCAATCCCAATCAAGTATGTATTATGATTTTGTAGAAATGGATCAGTGGATAGTAAACTGTCCAGGAAAATTTAAATCCATAGACTAGCCAGCAGGGACGTGATATGCTATTGCTCTCAAGTCCTCCTAAAAGCATGTTGTAACTGAAAGTTTGTGACACTGATGTGAAAATGGCAGTATACCAGTGGAACAAAAAATGGGAGCTTGAGAAATAGATTTAATCCGCCTTAATTCCTGCAGCTTCTGCTTCGAGGAATCTGAACTGAATCATACTCGGAAGACTCTCCTTTCTTGTCTGGCTTCTTCTTCTTTCCCCTGAACAGGCATTTCCACCAACAAATCTTTGAACACTTAATCTCATCCTGGTGCCTATTTTCAAGGGCCCCAAACTCACACTGGCTATTATAAGCAAAGTATTGTTAAACATCATTATATACATCCTCGGATGGGGATATGTATGAGTGACACATAGCCTAAATATATAGATATAGAAAGAGGTGGCTGTCAGTATAGGTACACATATGTATATCTTGACATTGTCTGTAACTTGAAATTCTAGAATGGAAAAACACAAAAAATAGGGTAACATCTATTGTCCAAGTTGTTTCTTTCTATTTAGTTGTTTATTATCACTTCTATACATCTGTGGAGGATGCTGTCTGATGAAGGTACAATTATAAAACAGACATTTTCAAACCATGCCCACTCCCACACATCTGTCCACATTTCTCTATACCAGACCTCCCTTTCTCCAATTTCCAGCCCATTTCTTCCTGAGCATCTGATAGTGGGCCATGCCATTGACTGCTGCCTGGGAACCCATATACACTTACAGTTCAGATACTTCTGGCACACAAAGGTGATGATTTTTCTCAATGCTTCCAGCTCTACCAATTGAGAAGTCTTGAATTCCCCACTCTTATTCAAAATTATCCCTGGCTGTGATGGTTACACAGCTAATATCCATTTGGGGCCTGCAGTCACAAACAAAGCCAACTTTTCTATAAATGAAGCTTGGGATTTGTCGACTCTCCTCAGCTGTTAGGCGGGACCCCCTGTTTCCTCGCAAGGGTCTGTGCCACCTGATCCTCTCATGTAACTTATCTGTTCGCTCATGGTCCTCTTTGAGTTTGATTTTAGATGTAGCCTTTTATCTTTATGAAGAACTACTCCTAGAGACGTACAGCTTCATAACACTGCAGGGTAAACCCAAAACCACTCTGAATGGTCACTTCCAAAGGCATGGTCACTTGGTGCCATGTAGTCAAGCACTCCACGTCTTCCAGGGATAAGTGAAAGACAGGATCTGGTTTTTAAAGGAGGTATAATTCTCTTTCTTGAATGGCATCGTCTTACATCTGCATTCTGATTTTCCACTGGGACTCCCCATTTGCACCATAATTGTATTGTTTTTTTTTTCTAGCTTTTGATCACTGTGATATCATAAAGCCTGATAGATTGTATGGCTCAAATAGAATTTCTTGCATTAAATAATAAACTGTCCCCGCACAAATCCATCAGGATTCGGTATCATTTCAAATATTAGCTAAACCATAGGTCTGGCTGATGTGTCGTAACAGAACTTAAAGAGGCAAACCAAACATTTTGCATCATTGTTTTGTTTTGTTTTGTTTTCTGGTAGGAAGTATAAGATACACGACTTTGTCTTTTATTCTGGAGAGGATATATGCTTCTTACTCTTAACCAAAATAGCCAGGGACACTCTTACTAGAGTTTACCTCTCATTTTATGGACTTGCAGCTATCTGTTGTTCATCCAGCCTGTTCAGCCTAATATCATTGATTAGGTTGATATGTTTTATTCCACAGGATGAAAAGAAAGCTAAAAACTCCTCAGACTATATCACTACAAAAGACAAGATAATTAACGTGGTCTTGAAGCCAAACTATCAATATTGTCATTCCAAATAAATGCAAACTGTTCCTTATATGATTTCCTGGTCAGAATGGAAATTTAATCAATCGGTTCCAAGTCTTTGCTGAGCTGTTAAATTTCATTTTCAATGAAAGTTTTCACAAATCAATGTATTCCTGCTTATGAATATTCACTTTGACTACTCTTTGTTAAAAACTTTCAATCACAAGTTTACGAAGTTTCCAGAATTGTGGAGCAAAGACATCCATTCTTCCATTCTTCTATAAACAAACAGAATCATAGCAAAATAAAGCAAGCATTTCAGAAATTTTTAAATCAACCAAAGGTTTCCAAATATCTAAGGTGTATTTATTCTAGAAATACTTGTGAGAAGCTGGGACAGGCATCTGGCTTAGCAGTTAGTAATGTCAGCTGAGCACCACATCCCACGTAGAGTGTCTGGATTTGAGTCCCTGCTCTGCTCCTGATTCCAGTTTTGTAGTAAGGACCCAGGAGTTAGCAGATCAGGCTCAGGTGGTTTGCTCCCTGCAACCCACACAGGAAACCTAGACTGAGTTCCTGGCTCCAAGATTTGGCCTCTGTCTCTCTCTTTTATCTCTGTGTCTGTGTCTTTCTGTCAATCTGTCTCTCTCAATTTCATTCAAAAAATAACGATTTCTAAAAATAAACACAGAAGGGAACATACTGTTTTCAAAACTCCTCAAATAAGTCCTTTTTCCAAGTACTGGTACTGTATGTTTTATCTTATGCCACCCCCCCACCCCGGAAGAATCCCATAGGCAAGACTGACGTTATTTGTTCTGACTTAGAGATCTCTGGATGAGTGCATAAGGCATTATCCCCAGAGCATGAATCAAAAACAGTTAGTTTGAATTATTTGACACTGTGTCTGCCTAAGGCTAAAGTATCTGCTCAGGCAGTGGTCAAAACTAAAAAAAGAATAGTGAACAAGCTATTGATTTCTTTTTTTTTTAAAGATGTATTTTATTTATTTAAAATGATTTCTTTTTTAAAAAAAAGATGTATTTTATTTATTTGAAAGAATTACAGAGAGGCAGAGAGAGAGGGATGGGGTCTTCTATCTGCTGGTTCACTCCCCAGGTGGCTGCAACAGCTGGAGCTGCGCTGACCTGAAGCCTGGAGCCAGAAGCCAGGAGCTTCTTCCAGGTCTCCCATGTGTGTGCAGAGGCCCAAGGACTTGGGCCATCTTCTGCTGCTTTCCCGGGCCATAGCAGAGAGCTGGATCAGAAGAGGAGCAGCTGCCGGGACCAGAACTGGCGCCCCTATGGAATGCCAGCACTTCAGGACAGGGCTTTAACCCGCTGCGCTCCAGCACTGGCCTCTCATCAATGATGTCCAATGTTTCGAGGAGTGGGCAATGCTGCACAGCCACTTAAGCCGCTGTTTGGGAAGCCCGCATCCCCTGCTGGAGGACCTGGCTCATGTTTCAGCTGTGCCAGTTCCAATTCCAGCTTCCTGTGAATGCCCATCTTGGGAAGCAGGCACTGATGGTTCATGCACGTGATTCC